GGGCGGATGTTGGTCAGGATGAAGGTTAGACCTCAGCCCACAGCTCATCTCTGGAGGTTCTCGTCCTGTCAGAGAGGCATCGGTGCTGAGAACTGCCCCGGGCGCTGCTGGAATCAAATCCTACAGACAAATAATTGGATTAATGAGGAGAAAACACACTGACCCCTGGTGGCCAGGAGAGTCTCAGAGGAACGGTGCCTGCAGGTGAAGGTCAGGTGGAGAAGGTGTTTCCACGGCAGCAGTTGTTTGTAGTGGAGGAGGAGGAGGAGGAGGAGGAGGTGAAGGAGGTGACTCAGTCTGTTACTGGTTTCCTCACTCAGAAACAGCTTTTGGAGGAGCGCGCACGTGCACGTGCACGTGCACGCTCAGGGTTTGCAGTCTTTTCAAAGAGAATCATTTATGTTTAAAAGGCACAGCTTCAAAGCAGAGAGGTGGATGTGAAGCTCAGCTGACGGAGGTGGAAACAGAGCTGCGCCTCCCTGAGGTTTCTGTACAGGAAACACTGCAGCATCATAAATATTGATCTTTGGATTTTCCTGTTCAAACACGACACGGGCATTTCAAATAACAAACACCGCTAGTTGGCTAACGCTAGCTGTCGCTAGCCGTCGCTAGAGGTCGTTAGCCGTCGTTTTATGTCATTTCCTGATGTGATGAGTCTCATACTCTCCATTAAATATTTGTCGACTCACCTTTAGCCTTCTTTTAGACTCACATTTAGGCTAACGTTTAATGTTGTTAATGTTCAATGTGTATTTTTGAGGCATTTGTCATTAAGTTGAGGCTAACGTTTAATGTTGTTAATGTTCGTGTATTTTTGAGGCATTTGTCGTTAAGTTTACTTTAGCTGCACTTCATCAAACCTTCACTCATCATTTGGAGTAACGACAAGCTAGCTCATTCTGCTATGTCTTAGCTAACTTTTAGATTATTGGGTCATCTGAATTCTGATCGGGTCAGAGGTCAGAGGTGGAGACTTGGACGTATTTCATGGAAATTTAAATTAATTTAGTTCTGACCTTTTCTTTTGCTCTTTTTTCTCCTCCCTGCTCCTCCCTGCTGCTCCAGACGATGCCTATCTCCTGACTGGCCTCAACATCGAGGAGGTGTACCCAGAGACCAGCAGTTTTATAACCTACGACGGCTCCATGACCATTCCTCCCTGCTTCGAGACGGCCACGTGGCTCCTGATGAACAAACCCGTTTACCTGACACGGATGCAGGTGAGTCCGCACCTCCTGGAGGAGGAGGAGGAGGAGGAGGAGGAGAACGTGTGTTCCATTCTCTGGAACCTGGGTTCTACTGAGGTCTAATGCTGCTGGTCCTCCTCAGATGCACTCTCTGCGCCTGCTGAGCCAGAACCAGCCGTCGCAGATCTTCCTGAGCATGAGCGACAACGTGCGTCCGGTGCAGCCGCTCAACAACCGCTGCATTCGCACCAACATCAACTTCAGTCTGCAGGGAAAAGACTGTCCCAACAACCGGGCTCAGAAGCTCCAGTATCGAGGTAGAGACCGCCACCGCAACCAGCACAAGGAAACACTTAGCCAAAACAGAACTAAATGTTAGCTAGAAGAAGCTAAAAGATAGCAGGAGGAAATGATGCGTAGCTTAGTGGGACAAACCAACAACAACATGAACAAGAATTCCAGGTAGGAAGTACAGAGAAAGGGCTGTTTATTAGGTATATTACGGTATCATCTGCATAGTGTTGATGCTCAGAGTAAACCAGCTGAACGCTGCCACCTGGTCAGGACCGAGTCTGTGTTCAGAGAGGTTCTCCAGCAGGTTCTCCAGCAGGTTCTCCAGCAGGTTCTCCAGCAGGTTCTCCAGCCTCCACCATAGTCCACAAACACAGAGCTTCATCGGAACTGATTTAAAAAAAATAATTTTATTGAGTTTTAAAAGAAACAGAAACCAAACAGAACAGATTCATGTCATTTTACTGGAAATGGAAAAAAAAATGGAGTTTGACGTAAATGTTGACGTAGCTGTGGACGTAGACGAGTCCACTCACTGTTCTTCCTTCTCTCTTCCAGTCAACGAGTGGCTGCTGAAGTAACGTCGTCCTACTGTGACAGGGATGAACCTGGGACACAGGTGAAGAGGAGGACGGGTGGAGGACCATCTCATCCACTGTCTTCTCTCTTCACCTCATTGTACAAAGACCAAAAAAAAAAAAGCAGCTGATTTTCATCTGGAACTTTTGAACTTCACCAGAACCCAGACTCTTCTTCTTCTTCCTCTTCTTCTTCTTCTTCTTCTTCTTCTTGTCATACATGTGGAACATCCTGGATCTGATGACAAGCCCCGCCCACTCTCAACATTTTGATACCAACAATTTTTTGGGAGAAAAATAAAACTGAGGCATTTATTACCTGAAATCAACACCACAGTGTTGGAAGTTAAAAAAAAAAACTTTCATAAAGAAAGTTTGGATTAGTGTGAAAAAAATCACTGCCCCGCCCATCATCCTAAACCCCGCCCCACCGTGTGAGTCTCACCTTGTCGATGGAATCCACTGAACTCTGAAGACCCATTCCTGTCACTGAAAAAACACGGCATGACGTCAGAAAATCCAAGAACGGGAAGAGAGTCAGGGAATGCTGCCAAAGTTCCCACGAGTTAAAAAAAAAAATCATCTCTGAGCTTCAGAACATCTTTGGTCGGTTTGTAAATATGAATCTTATTAAAGTAACGCAGCAGAGTTAAAAAAAAAAATCAAGACTTAACGGTCAAAAAGTTCTGGAACTCTGGTTTGTCTTAGGAATTCTGGGGCAGTTCTGGATTTCCAAGAGGTAAAAAGTGGTTTTGTTTGTTTGTTTGTTTACGATGGTCCTACATTGTGTTTGAGTGATGTTTATCAGCCCAATAAATGTGTCACAAAGTTCTGTCACTGGTCTAAAATTTGTCACGTGGAACAATTTCAAATTTGTGAGCGAAAACCAGGAGCAAGTCTGGAAAACAGCCTGGAGAACAGCCTGGAGAACAGCCTGGAGAACAGCCTGGAAAACAGCCTGGAAAACAGCCTGGAAAACAGCCTGGAAAAGAGCCTGGAAAACAGCCTGGAAAACAGCCTGGAGAACAGCCTGGAGAACAGTCTGAAACAGGTGAGAACAAAATCTCCAAAAACAACTATGTTAAAGATATGAAATTTGAACCACCTGCTGTTGGTATTGTTCACACTGACAATGTGTAACCATGGTATCATCCAACAGGTGGCGCCACTGCTTTTTTGTTAACGATGTGTCGAGCTGACGCCCACGACGGCCGGCGACGCACATCAGGCAGTGACACGTGCATGAAAAAGAAACAAAAACCTCAAACGCCGTGACGAGACGTCAGTAGCTGAAAAAGTTGTCTGTTGTCTTTAAAAGGAAAAGGTGGACGGAGTTGGTAGTTGTGAACCTGGTCCAGATGAAGAGCTCAGATAGAAAAGTAAGAGACGTTTGGACTGTTATTCTCTACTGTTGGTCTTTCCACCATGTGTTATTAATTATAGCTGAATAGACTGCTGTCCTCGTCCACTTGTCCTCCCTCCTTCCTGTCCTCGTCCACTCGTCCTCCCTCTTTCCTGTCTTCATCCATATGTCCTGCCTCCTCCCTGTCCTCGTCCTCTCCAGTCTTTTCTCCACTGCCTCCTCCTGAACTCTAACAGCTGTGACGTGGAACCAAAGCTGTTCTCCGTGGGACAGAACCAGTCCCAGTGTAGGACACAGTCCACTGACCCAAAAATGACCGCAGCAACAAAACATTTGTTTACAGAGGAGTGAGGAGGACCTGAGTGGTCATCGTCTTCTCTGACGCTCGTGGTCGGTGTTGGCTAACGAGGAGCAGCTGATTGGCTGACTAAGCTCATTCTTGTAGCCGTTTGCTAACATGTAGCATCTCCTCCAGTCATTGACACCTGTGTTTGTCCACGGTGTCTGAGTCCAGCTGAGGTCAGAACAGACTACAGCCACCACCCCTCTGTCTGTGTCTGTGTCTGTGTCTGTGTCTGTGTGTCAGTGTCAGTGTGAAGCTTCTGTTAAGAGAATTAGGCTCCTCACCCCTCCTCATCACCCCTGCTCCTCACCCCTGCTCCTCACCCCTCCCCATCACCCCTGCTCCTCACCC